ACTATATATATATATATATATATATATATATATATATATATATATGTGTGTGTGTGTGTGTGTGTGTGTGTGTGTGTGTGTGAATACTCTTTGTCAGCATATGTACTTTCCCAAACAATCAAGCTATTTCAGACTAAACATGCATCATCATCATTAGAGCATTTTCTCAACTATTTGGGGTCGGCAACGCGAATCTTGGTCTGCCATTCTACTCTATCAAGGGTCATACCCTTAATGAAGCCATAAGTCCCCATGTCTTTTCTCATTACTTCCAACCATGTCCTTTTAGGGCTACCCCTTACCCTTTTTGAACCTTCAACTTGAATCAACTCACATCTCCTAACAGGTGTTGTACTGGGTCTGCGCTGCACATAGCCACCCCGCCTAAGTCTACTTTCTCTCATGTTATTGCCTATTGGAGCCACACCTAAGTTCTTCTGAATATATTCATTTCGAATTCTATCCCTTCTTGTCGTGCCACTCATCCATCTTAATATCCTTATCTTAACCACACTTATTTTATGGGTATGTTATATCTTGACCGCCCAATATTCCGCCCCATAAAGCAAAGCTGGTCTCACCACTTCGCCCACCCAGCTCTAATTCTATATGCGACATCGTCCTTAATATCTCTATTTTCCTGGATCATCAACCTAAAATATCAAAAGTTTATTTTTGGTATTTCTTTTTGTCAATCTTAACTACGTCTCGTGTCTACTCCTATTATTACTCTGTCTTAGTCTAGCTTATTTTAAAACTTTTAGATCTACAACATCCCTATAAAGTTTAAACTAAACATGCGACCATTTGCATTATTTGATGCACATCTAAATTCAGTATAGTAAACAACAAGGTTGGGGAACTATTAAGGCTCTTGCGGAATAGAGAATGTCATATTCTTGGAAAATCATATGCTTATATGGTTTGGGACTAAACACTACAAATACAAACCTTCGTGAATATTATGCTTTTATTTTGCAGAAAACAAGAATTTTGTTTTTAAAGACATTGGCTTATGTCTTAGAGATAGCACTTATCGAGGTATGTGGCCTTCAAAGGCCTTGATAGTATGTAAAAACTATAACTATGGTGCTATTTTACTCCTCAGAGAGTGTGGTTCATGTGGGATCGGAGGGGCATACTTCATGGTGCCCATTGACTGACCTGGGTTCATTGGTTTGGGCTTAGGAATGGAGTCCCAAAACCCTTTAACCCTGGGATAAGGTACAACCATGGAGGGTTTACAGGGTTAGCCCTTGTTGAGTTGAAGAGATGCCTAGGGTGGCTCAGCCAGGATGATGCAGGTCTCTTGCATGTGGTAGGTGGCTTGTAAGGGCAAGGCCCGAATCATGTGGTAGGTAGCCTTTTCCCAACTATGATGTATATGTGATAATCCCATCTATGAAAAGCAACTTCTATATTTCTGATCCAATGGATCCGATTCTCTTTTAATTGTGTTTAATTATGGTTTATATATTGACCACTAAAATGAATTTTTTAAAAGTTCATTAGATATTTTATTTTTGTATCATGAATTTTTGCACAAAAATATATAGGGTTTTTAGCTTTAAAAATTCATAAGCTTTTTCTAAAAATACTAAAAGGGGTTTTAAAATATCTTTGGGCACTTGAAAATTATGGGAGGCCTAATGGCCAAGGACCCACACGTGTAGGGCCCACATGGCCTCCATGACCCACAAGCCCCATTTTTTGGTCCTTCATTTTCTTCCCATCCTTGCAGAATATTTCATAAGTATATCACATGGCAAGGGGAAGTGCCATGGGAAATCTTGTGAAGTATCTCCATAATTTTGAAAGGCCTATGGAATTTTTTTATGAGAGATTATTTTATTTTATGTTGCTGAAAGTTCCTAAATTAAAAGAGAATGGGTCGAGGAAATCAAGGGATAAGGTTTCTGGATCCTTCCCTCTGGGATTAAAAGCCTCTCTTCACCCAACAAATCACCAGAGATAAACAATCCATATTGAATCTCACATATGATGGCAAACCCTTGTTTTCAAGACACCTTTATTTAAAGATCTTATATTATGGGAAATGGAGAAACCCTGATCCTAACATAACCAAGTGACCTCTCTGCCTCTCTAGGCCACACGCCCCAATCTCTTTCTCTCTTGCCCATAGGGGTGCCATGCCCCACATAGAAACCAAGAGGGCAGCACCCCCATTGTGTTAAGACCTAGCCCATTGTCCATTGATTTGAGGTATCTAGTTTTGGTGCTGTTATGCCTTTGTGGCACATACTTGGTTATGTTCTTTCTTCTACCTCATCTTGTGGTTTTTGGTTTTCCATTAAAGGTTCTCATCTTTAGGAGATTCATAAGGGATCGAGATCAGTGCACTATCGAGTTTAGGTGATTTAGAGTGGGTTGGGCGTAAGTCCTTTGGAGGTGATTTGGGGCATCTTCTTCCGGTAAAAAGCTTCCATTGTTCTGAATTCACTTATTCATTGTACTTCTCTTATTTTTTTGAATAAAAGAAGCATATTGAATAGCAGTAAGTGAGGATCCTTAGACTATAGTAGGTTTATTTTGATTAATTTTGCATTGTTATTAGCGATTGTAAGTAGGCATGCCGATAAAGTCGCTGAATTACAAACATGGTTCACAACCTATATGGCCACCTTTCATCCGGTTACCTTGAAAAGCTTCTACACTTCCTCCTGATATCCCATTTTCTTTATTTATACCATGCTGGCCTTTATTCCTCTGGATATTCCTTTCCTCGTCTTCAAAAACGCAATTCCACTTCCCCAAGAGACTTTTTTGACTTACCTTAATCTCCGTGCCCCTAAAACTCCATCCTCCTTTGATGTGCAAAGAAAGGGAATAGAGAGTGTTCCCGTGCCTTAAAGGCTTAAGCCTTTTATACTGAATATTTATCTCAAGCAATGTTACCTTGACACATCTTTTTTTCTATGGTATCATGCATCAACCATGTTGACGCCTCTAGACACGGTGTGAATGAAAGATATATAATATTAATCTGAGGCCATAGGTTCAAAATCAGGGCCTTTTGAAGACAGGTAGTAAAATCCACTGCCAAAAAAAATATATCGCTTGTGTAGAAAGCATGCAATATTTCTATTATAGACTATTGGAAAGTGTTATTTAATACCAAGTATCATAAAACATATTCTGTGAAGTTGGAACTTGGGACCTCTCGATGATGTGCAGTAATCTTTTCCACTTTAAAAATCACTTGTTTGGGTGAAAAGCATCTAAATGTTATCATATAGAAGTATTTCTCAATATAAATAATAATTGTGTGGACATTGTCTGCCGTATCATCTTTTTGGGAGAAGCACTTGACACCTTAGATGTATTGGACACTGTAAATTTGCTAGGTCGAAAGGTCGTTATCTTTCCTTGGCAGGGAGAGTAACGCTAATAAAGGCTACATTATCTAACGTCCCTATATATCCAAGAGCAAATTATGTACAGATACTTTTAGGAGGGGGTCAATTACCAAATGGGTAGACATTTGTCCAAAATTACGAGCACCACGCCCCAACCCGTGGCTTCTTTTTTTTTTTCCTAAGTTGCCCCCCTATCCGGCGATGCAAACACCGGACAGAGGCTATTCTTTTCTTTCCTCATTCTTTGTTGTCGGTGTTCAAAATACCGGACAGCTATCTGATATCTCCAAAACCCTCTGGTTGGGCCCAGCCCACTTCATTTTATCCGAATTCCTTCTTTGGCCGAAGCCAGGGGTTTTGCTCTGGAAGGCCGCTATTTCCGCCGCCTTGTGGACCATTTGGACTGAGTGTAACCAGAGGATCTTTCGAGGAGAGAGTACATCGTTGGAGGACCTCAAGGAGCACATCGAAAACGATGGTCATCTTTTGGATCTAAAACCACAAACATTTCCAAGCCTTTTCTTCCTTGGACTTCCTGCAACACTGACAATCAAGCCTCCCTATGGAGAATCCCAGATTTGGCTTGGATCAAATTAAATTTTGATTGTTGCTCTTTCGGCAACCCAGTGCTGGCTGGGGTTGGGGGGTCTTTACAGGGACCATTTTGGCCACACTATCTTTTCAGTCTCTAAATCTATTGGAGTTGCCGATAGTATCACTGCCAAAGCCTGTGCATTGCTTGATGGCCTAAGAGCTTTCAGGACTGCGTGGGGTGATTGCCTTGCCATTGAAGGAGACTCCAAATCCATCATTTCTTAGGCCTCTGGTTCTGCCGTTCACCCTGCCCACATTTTTGACGAAATTTTCGATATTGCTAGACACATTAACTTCTCTTGGACTCACGTTTGGCAACAAGCTAACTCCCTCATTGATACCCTCGTGAAAGTGGGGGCAGCATCATCATCTGGGGGTGTAATCCACTGACATTTTTTGCAGTCGGTGGCTTCCTTGATTCTTTTGTTTTATCGTGGATGTATAGCATTTTTTGAATCTAACTCACCATCCTGTTGATATACGATATACTGCCCCTTTGAGGGGCTATTATTTGTAATATCCTCCTTTCCTTAATACAAGTCAACTTTTCTCAAAAATAATCATGTCACTGTTCATGTAATAATGATCTCGAGTGGCCATTTACTAAAACTGAAATTGAGTCAAACTCACTCCTTTTGTCCACCTCCTCAAATGAGTACCAAACACAATTTGCATGTTGAATCAACACAGTTGTCCATGGTGAACGGTCTCTCAAGCAAGCATAAACTATGCTCCCTACAGTTCCCTTGTCCACAAGATAGAAGATCTCCCATGATCTTCATGTTTTTGGTCAAACTAATATGCAAGCCGTCTTAACTATTTCCTTTTCTCATCTACCTTATAATGGGGGAAACAAGCATAGGACTCTTGTCTGCGATGAATGTTAGCCCTGTGATAGAACTTAAAAGCAACCATGTATTTTTTAGGTCTCCTTTAACTTTTGCTTCTTGAGTAATCTTTCTCAGAAGATTTATGTGAAACATTTGTTGTTCAGCTTTATCCGTAATCAGGCTTGATCGCCCAATTTACTATTACAGAACCATATTTTCTTATATTTTATGTTTCTTTTTTACACGATTGTGGTTGCCATCTGACAATCTAGATGAACTGGCCTGGATGGAAAAGTTAAAAAGGAGAGCTAACCTCTGATATTTTACTAGTTTTGGTTTATAATTCCTTGATTTCCTTCATAATCGGTATATATGTGGGCTAGCATTTCAAATATTTTTTAGCATTATGTATTGAAGCTAGACATCTAACCTTAATTTTTCTTCATTTTCTTGATAGACTTTGCCGACAATTGAGAATGCGGATGGTGTGGGAAGAAACACAAAAGGTTCATAAAATGCCTCTTTCTGCAACCTGGAAGACCTTGAATATGTTCGTTCTCACAAGAGAATTGCATGGTGCTTCACACAGTCATATGTCATTAGCATATCAATCATCATTTATCAAGATCTATAAATCGTAGTTGAGTCAATGAAATTTTATCTGCAGCTCTCTCTCTCTCTCTCTCTCAAGTTTACAAAAGATGAGACAGTATCTGCTAAGGAGATGTACCCAGGGTTGGAATGTTTTCATTTTTCATGTGCATGATCCAGTTTCGCTATAGATTCAGATTTAATTAGCCTTGTCTTTATTTTATTGACCCTCGCATTGTTCTAGTCATGCTACTGGCCGTGTGTGCTAGGGACGTACGATTTCTAGAGTTGTAAATTGCGGGCTGATCACTCATAAATATGCTGGTATTTGGTGGTATTGAAGCTTTCTTTCCTGGTGCTATGGTTGCTTTAGGCACTTTTGATAACTGAAAGTTCCAGCTCCAGAAATTCGAAGTTTAAGCTTACTGTGGCACTTGTTTGATAGCATGAAGCGCTACAAGGTACTGGTTTCAGTAAGCTCTAGGTTATGAAAAATGAGAACTTGCAGCTTCGATCCTCTGATGGAAGTTTTGCTTATCTCTATTTTTTTGAGACTCGTATTCTTATCTTGGAATGATCTTCAAGTTAGCAGTTTAATCTTGGAAAGATGAACAAATTAAGAGTTTTTGGATTGTTCAGTACCCATCAAATTGCACTATTGTTTGTTTTTTACAATTTGATTCCTTTTCATTTGAGGCTTATATATTTTTGTCATAAATGGTCCTCGAAAGAACAGTTTCGATGATCTATCCTATTACGCTATTGCGAGAGAGAGAGAGAGAGAACAAAATGGGTTGAGCATCTTGCATCGCCAGATTCCTAAGTTAACCAAGAGATGAACTGCAATGAAAATCACAAACCATATTGCTTAAAAAGTAATTTTTATCATTGAATAACAAGGCAATGCTCCTCGTGACACAATGTTTGTTACTTTCTCGAACTTATTTACTTCATCACACAAGGAGAGAGAGAGAGAGACCACAACCTCATGAAGCTCAATGATTTCTACAGTGCATGGCAAGGCCATGCTCCTCTTCCAATATAATGAGAAGTGACATAATATCCTCAAAAAGATTGTACTTTTCACTTCTCATTATTCTTATTTCTACGTCACATGAATACCATCATTATGTTACAAATGGGATCCAACCCCACATTGTAATGCTATAAAAATGAACCTAATCATGTTCCTTTCATTCCCTTGAGTAAAGGGAGGGACGAAGTTTAATGGCTATGGATTACAAATGGTATCCCATGACTCCATCATCCATGTCATTTTACCCCAAACAAAAAACACATCCAGCCATGATAGAAGATTGAATTAGCTCAAATTTAAATGAAGCATGCATTGAAAAAGGGACCCATTCTCATGCGGTAGCAATTAGCTTTGGCTCTCCTGTTCTTCAAGAGTGAAGAAAGATGTGAACCACTGTTTCCAGGGAGCATCTTTTTGCTGCTCAACCCATGACAAGAAAGCACTATCCAGCAAGCAAAATATGTTGACATAGAGAAGTTGGTATCGCACGGGGACGAAGCGAAAATTCGCCATCTGAACAGCGGGCCAGATCGCTCCCTCCAAAACAAAAGCAGGGATAAAGTCTCTCTTGACATCCTCTTTCACTTGGGCAGCAGTTTTGCCAGTTGAAAAACCCATATATGAGAAAAACACAAAAAGGTCCAGGGGACCGAAAATGAGCCCATCTATGGCAACCTTTGAGGCCACAAACCGTAATGATTTGGGAGGGAGCCGAAACCGATTCTTCATAACTCGGTCCAATCCCTCATACCTACAAAAGCAAGGAAACAACAATGGATAAGCACAACCTACATTTGACACAATCACAGAAGTAATTTGTAGGTCCTCTCTGTTAGAGGTTTTAAAATCAACTGACTTGGAGTATTTGTCGACCAAATATGGTCATGGGAGTTGGACTGAGAATGCTTTTCCCTAGGAGAGCTCATTCAACAAAAGTTCCGGACAGACTGAACATCCAATCCATTCTTATTCATGAAGGGTGGGAGATGAGGTGTTTCCCACTTTCACACCCAGCCTTGTTTTTAAGTGGGAGCAGTTAACTCCATTGTCCGGGGATAAAGAAGGACAGTAGCTACCAAGTACGAATACCCAAATAGAAGGATTTCAATTAATTAGGAAAGAAAAGGGTCATCTTGTCAAGTTTTGCTTCCAAAAGAAACAGAAACCAGTGACGGAAAATCACAGGAGTTCTTAATTTCATGAATAAAATTGCTAGGCCATTAGCATGCTGAATCTTTTGAAACCAAGCAATTTAAAAAGGCATTCTTTCTATATTTGAATTCATTTATCAAAAAGTTCTGGGTGATTCCCTTGACTCTTGCAACCCCCCTAGTTTTCTAGAAAATGAAAGACATCATAAATCACTGTAAATCTGTTTCCACCTCAGATCCATGAATTTGGAGCACTAAAATAGTGTAGATCTGATATCTTTGAAGAATCGAAATAAATGGTACAAAGAAATGGACCATTCTTAAGGCTCTTTTTTTTTTTTCCTTTCCTTTTCTACGTCTTCCTTTTTTTTTCGTTTCCAAATTCATAATTTGATAATACACATGCTAAATTTGGACCCAAAATCCATCTTCAAGATGGATTCTGGAAGATGGATGCACTAGAGCAGGTGTGCCCGAGGACGTACCACCTAAGAGCATGTTCGTGCATATTCCGGTCTATGTGCCCTGGTGCACACATGCAGGTGCGCAACAATAAACAACGACAAGTAACTAAAGTACGATACCAACCAGTAATGCCCGAGTGGTCCAACAAATCCAAAGCCAAACATGCTCGTAACACCCACTCTTTTCCAGTTGATTCTAAAACCTTCTCTATCTTCCTGCAGAACACAGGCTTCTCCATTAGCTGAAATCGTCAAACTATAAGTGTTATATTCAGATACATGCAGAAGGTTCTAATTAGTCACATCAACCAAGTAGCATCATTATTTACCCCAAAAAAAAAACAAGCAGGATCACTGACTTCTCTTGTCCTTTTTCCCCCTTTCTTTTGGTTAGAAAAGGCACAGTTTTTTTCCTTCTCTAAAATTTCTTTATGGGAATGGTAGTATAATGCATTTTATCAAAAGCAAATGTTTTCACTTCTTTAGCCGAACCCAAATAGTTGGGATAAGGCTCAAATGATGATGATGATGATGAAATGTTTTCACTTCTTCTGCTCATTTTTTTCTTATTAGTTATAAATTGCACATGCTTGTTAGCCCAAGTATCTCTATTAAATACCTTGTGTCTATTGCGAATAACAATAAAACTGCACTCTTTTCTCAGAGAAAATTAAGGGTATATTTGCACATTTCCACAGGTCAGTAGCTGTAAAATAGTATTTTCAATTAAGGAAGAAGATGTTTTCAAAGATTTATGTTGAATGCACTTACGAAAGTGTGCCACTGTTTTTCTTTTTTCTTTTTCCCTTTTTCTTAAGTCTTATTCAGGTGAAACTGCTACCTCTAGTCGCTCCAAATGGAGCATACAACTGAGACATAAACAATTAAGGGATAAAGGTGAGAGGAAACTACAAACACATCAAACTGATGGGGAGCCCAGACCCATAAAAAGGTCCCTTCTACAACACCATGTGTGAGCTAACTAACGAGTCATTGAGGTCATTAGCCAATCTCAGTACATGCTAAAGCTCACTTGCTGATCTTGGCACACTCATATATCTCCAACAAGGTGTCAGCTAATCACCATGGGTGGTTACCTCCCGTTGTGCCCACTGAATCACATTTAAAGAATCACCATCAAAGCAGTAATGGACCTGAGAAAGACTGGATGAATATTTGGAATCCCATGAGAAGTGCTATGGCCCTGTATAGGCAACCAAAGTCCTCCCCTACACCCTAGGAGCCAGGGTTGCCCAACGAGCTTCCATTGAAATTAAGCTTGACAACCCCAAGTGGAGGCTTGCTCTATGACACATGAATATGGTCTGGCACCCAACTATTCACCATTTCATCCATACTCTCACCAAGCCCAATACCTGGAGGCCTTGCAATTCCTTTTTAGTTAATGCCCATGATATAATAATATTCCTATCTTGATTCCCTATTGTTGTGGCTTTAAAATGCTTGCCCGAAAAAAATTCTTCCCATCCTCCCATACAACGGCAACAAATGATCCTGGTGAGGAAGCAATAGAAAGATAACCAATCCATTCAAGGCGGGCCACTCTTAAACAGGGGGAACGACCAAACTCTAGTAATTTTGGCATTCAAAATGAATTATTAGCACCATAGAAGTTACTAGAAGTAAGTGGTCTGCCCCAACAGGCCCTAACACTATACTACTATCAACATTAAAATCATAGGCCCATACAAACAAACTTAAATGGCCCCTTGTTCAAAATTTCAAACCACTCTTGCCCCATATATCATGCAGAAAGACAAATCGCAACTGTAATTGTTTGAATGATAGATAACAAAATGCAAGTTAAAAACCAGCAAAACCAAGAAAAATCCATTAGTTTGCTACTTATATTAAAAGAAAAAAGAAAAACAAAGATGCAACTCGGCGATACCATGAGCCGTGTCTACATAAACATGCACTAAATCAAAACAACAAACGTTCTCAAGCAAGAAAAACCAGCAGCTTATTCTGTCTTTACATTATTGTGACTTTCAAGAAAAACCTTTTTTAACAAAAAGCCATACCTTGAAAGAAAAGAAATCTGAACTTTTTTTTCTTGAAATTAACAGAAATTTAATATTTCATAATGCATATTGCATCTCCAATTGGGAGCAATGACATTATTTTCTACTTAATAACAACAATAATATATTGTTCCTTAGCCTCTTCTATTCTCACGCACCTCCCTCCTCTCTTCTCCTCACCCTCCTCTTCCTCTTCCTCTTTCTCCCTTCACCTCTTTCTCTCACCCACCCTTCTTCTCCCTCACCTCCCAAACCCTCCCCCTATGTACCCTCTATTTTTTCTTTCGTAGTCTCCTTCCCCTATCTGTACCCTGAGCACCCAGCTTGTGGGCTGCCTCAACTTTTCTTAATGCTCTGGTCTTTTCCTCTACCCTATTTCTGTATTTTTTTTGCTTCTCTTCCCCCCTCCAGCTGTTCATATTGTAGCCTGAGCACCCAATTTGCGGGATACTGTTTTTAAAAAAAAAAAATTGATGTAATACATTTTACTATTAATATGAAGTTAACCTTTTCCTCAAAACAAAAAACAAAAATAAATAATATATATATATATATATATTGAGTTACAAAATGGATTGTAAAATCACTATGTGAAACGCATTAACAACATGAAACAAGCATAAAACTATTGTAAACACAAGCTTCTTCATCTCTGTTCAGTAAATAGGTCATTGGTAAGACAATATTATATTCTATATTTCATTGTAAAAAAAAACTAAATTATATTCTCTTTTTTTATAAGATAAGATAAGATTGGAAAGAAACACATAAAGGTTGTCAGATGATAACTGGGCACCTGATAAGATAAGAATGGCAAGACTACGAAAGATGAAATGGTTGAAAGATAACAAGCCTCTAATAACTAATACCATGGTAGTGCACTCACATATTCTATCAGTTTCCCCACAAAACAAAATAGTGGGTGAAAAATGAAAATATAAGCCTGACAAATTCATTCCTCTTGAAAAAGATTGGAAACTAATAAAACACACAAGGTGGGAAACTGCATTTCTAGCATCACGTAGAAATATGTGCAGTAATACACAATTAATCTGAGAATTATGGTCTCGAATCTTCACATAGATTCACCCAACACCAAGCAAAATGCTAATTCCATCGTGAACCATCTGAGCAAATTAACAGAGTCCCCCTTGATCAGAAGGGGCCAAGAAATGACAAACGTAAAGCTTAATGTAAACAATAAATTCAACTAATCAGATGCTTCCACAAAATTCAAAGTAGTATTAAAATGATCCACCGGTCCACAACAAGCAATTGACTGTAAGAATTTAGTTACTCATAAATTATTGTTTTTGTTGTCAATAAGAAAAAAGAGTAAAAAAATCATAAAAAAAAATAAATTAACATTTTTGTTGGCATTGGATTGAAAAGAAATGCATTTTGTAATCTATTCTCATTTATATTAAAGAAAAAAAAAGGGAAAGCAGGCTACTCCAAATGAATGTAACCAACAGGTCCTTTCAACCAGTATTAACCATGAGAAATTAACAACCCATAAGAGAGAAATTATCAAATGAGGCCCATGAATATAGTAGAAATCTACAACAAAAACAAATATTCAGGTAATCAATGAAAAACCCAATCAAAAGAACAAGCTGAAGAGAACCATAAGAGAGGGAGGGGGGAGAGAGATAGAAAGAGAGAGAACCAGTCTCTGCAATGAAAAAGAAGAGACACCCATACTCCATGTCTGGACTATAGCAATCTCTGAAAGTAGAAGAAGAGAGAGAAACACTAAAAATAACAGATACCCAAATCTCAGCATATTTCAAGGGATCAAAATAAATGGAACCCAATAAAAGGAAGAAAAATACAATGATCAAGATTTTATTTCTTACATGATCTTGATGATGTTTTTGGGATTTTGTGTAATGGGTCACAGCCTGAGCAGAAACATCTCCAATGCCCCAAAGAATCCCAGAGCTGATGATCTGGGTCCTAACAGGATAGAGAGAGAGACATTTCTGATACCACCTCCATGCTCTAATCATCCTATATAATGGGTTTTCCTTTTCTTGGGTGGACCAGGTGGGTAGAGAAATGTTAGAGAGAGAAACAAAAATGATTCCCCAAATTATGTTATGGGTTTTCTTTCTTGGCTGGAGCAGGTGGGTAGAGAGATGTTGGAGAGAGAAAGGAGAATATCCATTCTATGTTATGGGTCTTGGATGAAGCCGGTGGGTGGAGATGTTAGAGAGAGAAAGAGGGAAGAGGTTCATTCAACTCTAATTTTATGATGGCCTGGGCCTTTTTAAGACTCTCTCTCTCTTCTGTCACCAATAAGGCGATAAGCCCCCTACCTCCTGTGTATGTCTCTTCCTCTCTCTAAACGTGCCATGTTAGTTTCCTCTTAGTTGCCCTAAAAGCATGAATATAGGCGGTTTGACTCGTCTGTAATCTTGCACCTTCTTCAATATTACAATCTTTCTCTCTCCAACCTGCCCATCTCTTTCTCTCTCTAGACCACAATCTTTCTATCTCCAACCTGCCCATCTCTTTCTCTCTCTAGACCACGATCTTTCTATCTCCAACATGCCCATCTCTTTCTCTCTCTAGACCACAATCTTTCTATCTCCAACCTGCCCATCTCTCTCTAACCTGCCCTTATTTCTCTCTAGACCACAATCTTTCTCTCTCCAACCTGCCCATCTCTTTCTCTCTCTAGACCACAATCTTTTTCTCTCCAACCTGCCCATCTCTCTCTCTCTCTCAAAATATGCCTTTTAACGTTATTTAGAAGTTAGAACAATAGTCTTTAGTCTTTTCGAACAATAATCTTTAAGTCTTTACCCTTTGCTTTATTTATTGTGAGCATCTCTCTCTCTCTTTGTGAAATAGTCTTTCTTTCTCTCTCTATGTGAGCATATCTCTCTCAATAGTCTTTCCATTGGGTGTGATTTGTATAAGGCTGTGGCTCTAAACAATCAAAATCCAGCGCACCTTTAAAATGGTGTTAAAAGATGTTTTAGTATCGAAAAACTTTGTAATAATCGTAAAAATTTATTTTTAAATCTAATTATAAAATTTAAAGTTGCATTCTAGTATACATCGAGCAAAAATATGAATATTTTAAAATCTTGAAAATTGACGGTTTAGAAAATATGTTACAAGATGTACTATTTTCAATACTTGAAATGTATTTTTATTGTGTTTGAGGTCAAGATGATCGATTTAAAGATTTTTTTAGCATAGACTACCTCTTCTAATGAATTTTTTAGGTGCGCCTTAAATTGATTGTTTAGGGCCTCACTTTTATACTACTTTTTCCCTTTCGTTTTTTGGGAAAATGGTTTGATAGGGTTGCAACCCTATCAAAGTAAGTAAAGGCTCACTTCATATTTTTATCGAAAATTGCAATTCGAGCGTAGAAAAACCTTTGAACCAGTCACCTCCGCTTGAACATTATTATTGTAAAGAAATTAGGATTTCAAGTTCGAAAAATAACGTATATTGAAAAAATCATCTAGACCGTCTATTTCACCCTAAAAATAAGTATTCAAATATCCGCAGATTTATACCATAGTGTAAATCGATAGATCTATGAAAGCTTGAAAATCTTGAAAATTGACGGCTCAAAAATATGTTACAAAATACACTATTTCTAAAATCTTGAAATTTATTTTTTTCTCATGTTCATGTATCTTGATGTCAAGATGATCAATTTGAAAATATTTGAACATCAAAACAACCTCTTCTAATAAACTTTGTGAGGTAGGCTCTTTCCCTTATTTAAATACTACCTTCTTTTCCTTTTTTTTGGTTTTTAAGTTTCAATTGTTTTTCTTTTTGCCTTCTTATTGTGGCAACTCTCTCTTTCTCTCCATTTTTCTTTTTGCCTTCTTATTGTGGCAACTCTCTCTTTCTCTCTCCATTTTGATTCTATCTTCAGTGTTAATAATAACAGGGAACTCCTCTCTCTCTTACAGTAGCTATAAATTGTGTAGGGAAAGGTTTCTATACTTCTTTTATAGCATAAAAGTTCTATTCTCATCTTACCCTTCAGCCATACAATTTTGATCAAGAGAGCCCATTCACCGTTTGATCTTAAATCCAACGTCTCAAAATATTATATTTTTAATTTTTTTTATACAAATTGTATGAATATGAAATTTGATACGTGCCATTTTCTCATTGGGACGCACTTAAAAAAAATATTTAAATATTTTTTCAATAAAATATAATGATCAAAATACCCTTTGAAGCTTCCAGGGGTATTTTGATCATTTTATGTTATTAAAAATATTTTTTTATATATTTTTCGCTAGTGCGAGTTTAATAGATGAATGGACATCCAAAATTTGATGTCAAAATAGTTTATAAAAAAAAAAATTAAAATAAAATAGTGTAGAGACGTGACATTGTGATTGTGACAATCTTAACCCTCCATTCAAAATGAACGGTTGGATAAGAGGGAGTATATAAGTTTTATGTTGTATGAAAAACATAGAAAGCTTGCCCAATTGTATATACATGTCAATCTGAAATGGAATATAACAAGTTAACATTATCAAAAGAGAAGCAAAAAAAAACTCCATGAGACTGTGACTACTGAAAATTATAGTCCATTTGGTTCCCCACGAATATAGGACAACACATATACTAGGTAGGTCCTACACTCTAATGGCAGTTAAGTCCTAAATAAACTCCTAATTGAGTTTTACTTGAGGGAGTATATGGATGGTATGTTAATGCGGAGCATGTTTGTTGCTAATTTTATTGTTTAACTTATTAAAAGGTAGTGATTTTTTTATGTCTCCACACACATAATTTAATATATTGAATATCAATGTTATAGTTAAGGGTACAGTTGGCGAAGGGATGCATCCGTAGCTGTAGAGGTAAGGTATGCTTTCAAATTTTATCATGGTATGTAATTTTAATGTAAAATGTTCTTAGATCTCAAAATATATTTTTATATCTAATTATAAAATTTTAAATTTAAAAAATGGTTAAAATCATGTAGATCTATAAAAATATGAGAATATTGAAAATGGACGGTGTAGATAATATGTTGTAAAATGCATTATTTATGAGACTTAAAATTTTTTTATTTTTCATGGTCATACATCTTGATGTCGAGATGATCAATCAATATTAAAACTACATTTTCCAATGGATTTTTGAGGTGCATTCATAACTCTACATTATAACGTCGTAACATTATATAAACTTTTTCCTATAGTTAATCAAGCAATTACGATAAACTGAGAATGATGCTACATGTTAATTAAAACCTAAGAAAAAAAAATAAGGAAAAAGTTTATATAGAGCCGAGGCTCTAAACAATCAAACTAGAGCCCACCCCAAAATTTTCACTAAAAGAGGTTGTTTTGAAGCCCAAATATTCTCAAATTGATCATCTCGACATCAAGATGCATAGACATGAGAAAGAAATTGATTTTAAGGTTTGAAAATAGTGCATCTTGTAACGTGTTTTTGGACCGTCAATTTTCAAGATTTTCAAGTTTTCATAGATCTACTCGTTGTACACTAGTTTTAAAGTTTTAAATTTTATAATTAAAGATAAAATATATTTTAAGGCTATCACAAAGATTTATAGTATTGAAACCACATTTCGCGATACTATTTGAAGGTGGCCCTAATTTGATTGTTTAGAGCCTCCACTCTATACAAACGGCACCCAACAAATAATGTTCACTTGAGGCCACACAATAAAGATCATAGTTGTCGACCTCCAAACACAAAATATTTGCACGAAAGCATTTCCCCCTTGATAACGTCACATATTTTAAAAACTATTACTTGTGGGGGACAATTGCTTTGCGACTGGGAAAGTTTTTTCCTACTAGATTACCGCTTTCTCATGTTTGTATTATTGAATAGTTGAGAGTGTGATTGAGTAGTTTAATTTTATTATTTATTTATATATCAGATTGAACTCAAATTCTCTATATCAATACTTCTTACTATCATGCTACAAATTATCTATAAAAAATCTGAAAAAAATAAAATAACAAAAATGCTCAAAACTTTCAAAGACATTCATTTTATTTTATGAAACTGTTTTTTCTAATATTATTTTATTGGTGCACCCCAATTGCATACATCCTGAAAATTTCATCAGTGTATAAAAAAAAATTTTAAATAATAGTACATATTTTCAACCATCTTATTAAGATAAGTAATACAACATTGCATGAAATTATTGCCTTTTATTTATATATATATATATATATAACAATTTATGGAAAGTTTATCCAAAATATACAATAGAGGGAAAATAAATGAAGAGAAAAAAAGAGGGGAAAATTGAAAGGTGGGGAAAAACTAGAGAGAGAGAGAGGTGGGTAATGGAGAGAGAGAGGGGGAAATGAAGAGAGAGAGAGAGAGTGGAAATGACTAGAGGACGGGGAACAAGAGAGAGAGAGGGAAGTAGAAAGAGAGATAACGAAGTGGAATAAATAAAACAAGAGAGAGAGGAGGGAGGAAATAAAGAGAGAGAGGAAAATGAATCGGAGCCGCTCCTAAAATCTAGTGACTAGCATTGCACCAAATAAGCCACTCCAAATTACTTCCGCTTTTTTTTTTGTTGATATATATGTTTTTTCCGCTTTTTTGTTGAGTTTTTTTTTTTTTTTTTTTGGGGATAAGAGGGATGGTATAACAGCTTCCCATGACAAACTCTCTCTCTTCACAATTCATGCACGCACTCTGCAACTGAGCTCTAAAGGTACTGCTTTCCACTCTTTTCAGCTTTAATGTTCACCCATTTTCTCTCATATCCAAAACCCAGATGAGTCTTTTCTCTTTTTCTATTTGGGTTGATGTATGGGTTGTTCTCCAATTGTTTGTTCTCTTTAATTTACAGGAGCTTCCTGGTTAGTTTCTTTCTCTCTCGAGAAGCACTGGCTTCTTTACTGATCAAATGTTCTGACACCACCAAGTTTATATTTTGTTTTTGATTAGTACCAAATTTGATTTTGGCAAACCCACTGTAGGTTTTTGAAATTTGAATAATTGGTAGCAGATTATCATGGGCCATTTTTGGTTCTCTCCCTAGAGTAAGCATTGGGTTATTTCCTGATTATTGCTCTGGCACCACCAACTTTATTATTATTTTGATAAGTACCAAATTTTAAATATTGGAAACCGGATGTAAGTTTTGAATAACTGGTTTATAGATTATCTGTTATGCTTTCTTTGAGACTGTGAATTCGCCATTTTTGGTTCTCTCTCTGTAGAGTAGGCATTGGGTTATTTACTTATTATTGTCTGGCACCACAAAGTTTATCTTTTCATGTGATGAGTACCGCAAGGGACATCGTAGGTCTGTTGCAGTCTTTTAATCCATGCTGTTCAAAAAAATCTGACGGCGCTGAGCATATGGGCGAAAATGTTTTCACCCATAGGCATTGCGTAGTGGCTTCCACACACACGCACACACACACATATATACATATATGTGTGTGTACATGTGTGTGCACACACGTGTGTGTATGTGTGTGTGTGTGAAGATATCGGTTTAGTTCTTCTTCAATCAATCATGCATCAAAAGCATCCTAATGAAGCAGTTGCCAATTTGGTTTTACGCAGGGTTCTTCTCATTTATGCTTTTCTTTGATTTCTCTCTCTAGATTCTTGGTTGCAGCAAATTAATAAGAATTTTTGGTGTGTATAATTTTGTTAACGTCTAATTATCATAAAATGCTTGCCGTACTAATGAAAACTTTGGATGCTTCCCTTATTTCTATCATAAACTCATAATCTTGTGCTTTTAATGCGAGAAATTCCTAATTTCGATCATCATCATCCGAGCCTTATCCCAATTATTTGAGGTCAGCTACACAAATCCTATTCCATCATTCTGCTCTATCAAGGGTCATACCCTGAGTGATATCATAAGTCACGATATCTCTTCGCACTAATTTCATCTATATCCTTTTGGGCCTTTTCTTTAGCCCTCTTAGCCTTCCACTTGAATCAAATGACCCTCCTAACCAATGTTATATTAGGTCTACAATGCACATAGCTAGCCCATAAAAGTTTAATTTCCCTCATCTTATTGTCTATTGGAGTCACTCTTAAGTTCCCTCATATTATCATTCTGAATTCTATTATTTCTTATCTTGCCACTCATCGATTCTATCATCCTCATCATCCTCATATCAGATACACTCATCCTATAGATATATTGTTTTTTGACCGCTCGACATTCTGTCCCATAAAGCATGACTGGTCTTACAACTGTACTATAAAACCTCCCCTTTAGTTTCATTAGTAGAGGCGATCACATAAAGCTCCGGATGCACATTTTTGCTTTGCCCATCTAGCTCTAATTTTATGTGCGACATCTTTTCAAGTTCTCCATTCTCTTAGATTATCGACCCAAGATATTGAAAATAATATCTTTGAGGTATTTCTTTGTCTTCAATCTTAATTAATTACTCATTTTTACTCCTATTATTACTAAACTTGTATTCTATATATTTTGCGTTAGTCCGACTAATTTTAAAACCTTTAGATTTTAAAGCATCCCTCCAAAGTTTTGACTTTGCATTGATGTCTCCTCTAGTCTCATCAATCAAAACTATGTCATATGCGAACAACATGTAGTATTGTACTTCATCCTGTGGATGCCTAGTTAACACTTCCATAACCAAAACAAAGAGATGGGCTTAGCATGGACCCCTGATGCAGGCCTATGCTCACTAAAAACTCACTTGTCTTTTTACTAGTTGTCCTCACATAGTTAACGCTCCCTCGTACATATCTCTCACCACGTCAATATCCTCTAGAGACTCCTTTCTTTCCCAACACCTAACAAATAAGTCCCTATGTACCCTATCATAGGCTTTTTCTAAATTCTTAATTTGGGCAATTAGTTTTATTTCTTTTGTTTTTTTTTATTGCTTTGGTGTCATTGTGCTCTATTAATTTTATTCAGTGTTTGTTTAATTAACTTTTGTAAAATTATTTGGAATTTACATTGTCGATTCATGCCTTTAGTGTGTCAATTATTTAATGGGTGCAGTTGGCATACAGATGCATCCGTAGCTGTAGAGGTAAGGTGCACTTTCAAATTTTATCATAGTATATAATTTTGATGTAAAATTTTCTTAGGATTATCTCAAAATCTATTTTTATATCTAATTATAAAATTTAAATTTCAAAAATGGTTAAAATCAAGTAGATCTATAAACATATGAAAATCTTGAAAATGGATGATGTAGATAATATGTTGTAAAATGCACTATTTCTGAGACTTAAAATATTTTTATTTTTCATGATCATACATCTCGATGTCGAGATGATCAATCAAAGGGTTTTTTAACATTAAAACTACCTTTTCAAATGGATTTTTGAGGTGCATTCGTAGTTCTACATTATAAGGTTGCATCTTTATATAAACTTTTTCCTTATTTAATTGAGATGACATAATTGATCAAATTAAAGCCAGGGAATTTTCTAGAAAGTATTTTGAAAATCTTGTGCTTGCTTTAACACACACTTTCTTGATTGCCTGTGATTCTTTAGACCTAGTTAGCATTGAACCTAATAAAATTGGAGAGTCTGATCAAACATTTTAATTAAACCTACGTTTTTCATCTATCTTTTGGGTGAATTTTCTTCACATTAATGATTTCCCAACATCAGGTAGCTTTCTTCTTTCTTACTTTTCTTTTTACATTGGTAATTTGGGATTCTCTTTTTGGGTATGTGTGAGTTATATCAGTGTATGAAAATAGGGATTATGGCACAAAAACACTCACTAATCTACGCCAAACACATCCAAATCATATACAAACAATGTATACAACACACCCATATTTTACAATTTTTTTGGAATTTTTTGAAATGTTTTTATGTACCCTGAGTTGTACAAACTGATTTATTGTCCTTTAATGACATGATTCAGTGTTTTATACAATTCTAACCCAAAAACACATCTTGGATTAAGTTTTCGGTGGTTAAATTTATTGAAACAGAGTGTTACTTGGATAACTAGAACATTGGTCTTCATGTTGGAAAGCAGGCAAATTACTTTTACTCTTTCTACGTAATCGAACAATGTGGCTTTGATGGGTCACCCAAATATGCTCTAAAAGGAGATAAGGAAAGCAAGAATCCATGGAAGGAGTGAATAACCACACACCTCTTCTGGATTCACCAATTAAGGATCGTGAACAAGCTCAAGCATCACTAAACAAGGTATTTCATCTTCTTCTCCATTTTTATGGATGTTCAGTTGCCATATCTATGTTTTCCAAGAAAATATTAGTTGCAATTAGCTGATATTTTACAATAACTCACGAGAAACTTCGGAATTGAGTTGATTTATATAAGGGAATAATATCTATAGGATGCAACTGTCGATCATTTTTTAAAGATTGCTGGTGTTTCTTTCATCTCTAAGAAAAGCTGGGGAAACTCATTTGACCCTTTTATATTTCTTTTAATATGGTGGCATTGGAAATTGCCACAGACCCTTAAAGGTGGGAAGAGTGCACTTAGAGAATAAATTGCACCTCTGGATACGATGGAGAAGGAACAACTCTCAAATGAATATGGAGAGTGGTTTATCATGCATTTCATAGTTTTCGTAAGACCTCGGATTTGGGTTTGGGCTATATTAAGGTGTTGATGATTGCAGCACTACATCCCAAATTGGATTCTATTTAACTTTATCAATAACTTCTACTGGAAATAAAAAATTTGTGCTTGGGATTCACAGAAGAAATGAATATTCGTGCATACTTCTAGAGCTGGTATCATGTTATAATTTATGCATGGCTATAATTCAATAAAATCTCAATATTATTGGAAGTTTATTTTTTTCGTTTTTGAAAGCTCTTGAATCATTTGATATATTTGCATGGACATATTGGATCAATCCCTAGACTATTTAAGGTCAAATGCTTTTGATTGCATGTTATTCAGGTACGATACCCAAATGGGAGAAAGGCACTAAATCAAATTTCAAGCACTTCTAAGACCCAAATTCAACCACCATGCACTGCCTGCTGGGATCAAGACTCATGCCGAATAGTTCGCTCTAGAACAAAGCTGATGAAAATTTTACTGGATAAAGGGCAGTCCCAAGAAGTCCAAAACTTATTTGATAGCTTAATTGAAGAGGGTCACAAGCCTTCACTTATCACTTATACTACGCTGTTGACTTCCTTAACGATTCAAAAGCGATTTGGATCCATCCCTGTACTTGTTTGTTTGATTGAAAAGAGTGGAAGAAAGCTTGATTCTATCTTCTTCAATGCTGTTATAAATGCTTTCTCGGAGGCTGGAAATGTGCAAGAAGCCATTAAAACCTTTTACAAAATGAAGGAAAATGGTTGCAAACCAACAACCAGCACTTTCAATACCTTAATGAAAGGCTATGGAATTGCAGGGAAGCCACAAGAGTCTCTCAAACTATTAGAATTGATGTCCCGTGAAAATGCAAAACCCAATCAGAGAACTTTCAATATCATAATAAGAGCTTGGTGTGCAAAGAAAAATTTCCTAGAAGCTTGGAATGTGATGAATATTATGAGGAGTGCAGGTGTTCAGCCTGATGTTATATCATATAACACATTAGCTAGAGCCTATACACAAAATGGTGAGACATTTAAAGCTGAAGAATTGGTTTCGGAGATGCAGAGGTGTGGGTTAAAACCCACTGAAAGAACCTTGGGAATTATAGTGAGTGGCTATTGTAAAGAAGGTGATATGAAGAATGCCATGAGGATGGTTTATGGGATGAGGGATCTTGGGGTGCAGCCCAACTTGGTTGTTTTCAACTCATTGATTAAAGGATTTCTCGATGTCACAGATCCAGCAGGGGTCGATGAGGTGAGTTTGTTTGTTGCAGGATAAGTTTTCAAATTTGCATGGGCTGTCATAGCTCTCTCTCTCTCTCTCTCTCTCTCTCTCTCTCTCTCTCTCTCTCTCTCTCTCTCTCCTCTCTCTCTCACTCACTACTCTCTCTCTCTCT